ATTTAGTTCTAGTTCTAGATCATGTTCAAGGATTCGTAATTTATTTAATTTGTTTTCAATATGTTCAAACTTTTTAACTGATTATGTGTTTGTGTGTGGGCCTTGAAAGTGAGGGAGAGAGAGAGAGAGTGTGAGAGAGAGAGACAGATAGAGAGCAGCTAAGCTTCGGCCTGCCGAAGAATGCTTTTGCTAACATGAGTACTTATGAGTAGTACTCATTATAGTACTCATACTCATGCTCTATTTAAAATTTACATTAAAGTTTCGGTTCATCCCTTGTCCCCATTGTATAATAAAATGTAGTCTTCGTTTTTGTTTTTGAATTAAAGGCTTTTGGTTTTAAAGTTCAGGAGGGTCTCTAGTATTTAGTATATACATATATGTATAATATATATATATAGTATAGTATGTATGTATAGTACTTAGTATATAGTCTATGCACTTAAATGTATTTCGCTAAGAGCTCTTAAGCTGTTGAGTGCAGTGTGTGTGAGATAGATAGAGATAGAGATAGATAGAGCCAGAAAGATAGAGAGAAATAAGTCAAAGAAAGGGCATTTCTAATTTGGCAAATCGAATGAAAGTATTCGATTGTGTCTCAGGCAATAACTGTTACAATTCTCTAGCTGAATTTCTATGTCTCGATAACAATGAATGAGCTTGGAAAAAGCGCTCTGATGCACTACAGTGGTCCGTTATCGGTGGTTGTTGAGACGCCTTGAGGTTTTTCATTGAGAGGGGCGATTCTATTTTGTCAATCTGCCCGATATTTTTACTGGTGTGTAGTATCTTTTGGGGGAGCGGGGCCTGTTGGAGTTGTGTTTGTGGCATGGAAACCGTTTTGAAAGTTCTTTATGCTGCCGCTTCTGTTGTAAGATACGTAGAAAAGTATAAAGTAGGTGCCTGGGCCTTCAGCTCGATACACGATAAGCGATATATACGATAACGATAAACGATATACGCTCGATAGCATTGGGCTTCAGCTAGCTGTGCTGTAAATAGTCGACAGGTAGTTGTGGTTCAGAGTTTATCGTGTTCAACTTTCTCATAGGATTTTTTTGTTTCTTTTTTGTTTTTCATTTTTTGTTCATTTCCTTTGTAGGTAACATTTAACTATTTTATTTATCGTATAAGTATCGGAAACAATTAATATATCTATGTATATATGATGTATGCTGCTATTTCGGTATATTTTCTGTGTGTGTGTGTGTGTGTGTGTGTGTGTGTGTGTGTGTGTGTGTGTGTGTGTGTGTGTGTGTGTGTGTGTGAGTGTGTCTTTCAGAGAGCTTGTGTTTGGTCCAAATTGCTCTAATGCTCTAACATCTTGCTGCTTATCTATTCGTAACCGTCTATAACAAACATTTGTCCAACCCGGAATCTTTAACGCAATACCTGAACCCACATATAATAAGTATTCAACTTTAGTTTCTTCTCCTTTTCCACTGATATTTAAGACATGTTTGCATTTTGTTGGGTTGTGCCTGTTAAATAACAATCGTATTTTTTAGTTCTTTTGTTTTTGTTTTTTGTTTTTTTTTGCTGGGGGTAGCTTCTAAAGGGGAAGCGTGTTGTTCTTTAATTGACCGCCAAAATGTAGACTAATATTTAAATTGTACATCGAAAAGAATTTGTTTTTGTTTTTCATAGTTTCTGTCAAGTCTAGACTAATTAAATTATGCTTAAAATTGTTTAAATTTGTTTGTTTTTCTTTTTTTTTTAAATTTTTATACACCTAGCATTTTTGTTTAGTTTACTTTTAAATACATAGTTTTAGCTTTAGCTTTAGTTTTTTTTTCCTTTTTTTTTGTTGTTTTTAGTTAGTTTTGTTGGAAAGATTTGTAAATTCAAGTATTAGTCTTTATGTTATTCATTAAACAAGGGAAGTTGTGGCATTTGAAATGGGCATGAACAAAATACACATATACATATCTATATACACATGGCGGGAGCTTTCACACGCACACGCCTCACGTACGACCAAGCGCGTGCTGCAACGCATTGGCTGCCCAAGGGCTGCACCAATACATATGCAGGCTATGTGCTGTGATAGTCGTTAGGCAACAGCTGCAAAATATTCCATGTGTTGGCTAATGTAAGCGATTTGAATAATTCTTTTTCTTTTAGATCTTACTTAGTTAACTAAATACACCTAGGAGTTAGGACATTATAATATTTATAATTGTGTCTCTTTGCACATAGTTTCACATACATCTACACATCTACACATCTATATATATAAATTTTATGCGTGTGGGCGTAACTTTAGTTAGAATCCTAGTCTAACTACAAAAAAATAAACATCGACATCGAGCAAACTTTTTGTTTTTTTTTTTTCTTTTTCTTTTTCTTTTTTTAGATGATGTTGTTGTGTAGTTATTTAACAGACATATTTGTGTTAGCCCAATTGAGTTTTGGTTTTTGTTTTCAGAGTTGTTTAAGCCAATTTTCAATTTTGTTTTTTGGTTTTTGTCTTTCAACAACAACAAAAACAACAGCAACAACGACAACAATGACGACACTTAACTAACTTTAATAAAAAAAAAAAGACTATTTCAATTACATTAAACATACACATATACATACATATGATTATATATATTTGCATATTCTCTTAGACATTTAAAACTTTCAAATGTTTGCACAGTTTTTCATATTTCATTTTTCGAGCGCATTTCTTCAAACTGCTTTCTTCTTCTTTTGCTTTCGCATATATTTCATTTTGTGGTACTTTATTCATATTTGGTTTATTTAATATTTAACTATGAAAAAAGAAAAGTTTCGAGTTGAAAAAAAATATATATGTAGGACATTTCTATAGAATAGTAGTTACACTTACGGTTATTTTTACTTTAAATATGCATTTGTGTGTGTGTGTGTGTGTGGGCCAAGTACCAGCTTGGTGTTAAAAACATTCCCATCATTTTTTAAAAATATTTATTTATAGTTTTTAATCTTTCTACAATCCCATGGCCGTTTGCCACTGCGTGACGCGGGCGCTAAAAAGTATGCAACTCTTTTTACATGTCCTTTACATATGCACACATGCGTGTGTCTCTGTGTGTGTGTGTGTGTGTGTGTGTGTGTGTGTTGGCTTGTGTATAGTACATTTAACATAATTACATACAGCAATTTACATTGATATTTGTTTTTTTTTTTATTGATTTTTTTTGTTTTTTCTTTTTTGGACTTGAATTCAACAATTTTATTTTCTTCATGTTTTTCATTTGCTTTTACCTCCTGTTCGGGATATGTTGTCATATTTTCTTTGTCAATTTCCGTTAATTTTCTTTGTTTTCCATTGAAATGTTTACTTAGCTGCCCTTTTGAGTTGTTTCACTTGATTTTCTTATGTCTGGGTTAGTAAGAGCTCGCGCCTTGATTGCCATCGTACCGGAAATGCACTTCTTACAGCGCCAAAGCCATGCGTGCGAGTGTGTGCGTGTGTGTGGGCAAGAGGCTTAGAGTCAACTCAATTGCAGTCATGAGTGCGCAACAGATCTAAGCTTCTATTGTATAATTCTAGACATAACATTTATTTCTCTATGATATTTTCGAAGAGCATGCGACCACGGAGGAACATATAAATGTGACTATGGAGGAAATGACAAGGGAGCAAAATTTTGGAAAAACAACGAAAAAGCATAAAAAATAAATAAATGAATATATAAATAATAAACTGTAAAACATACACAATCTGTTTGATGTCCAATATCTATATTCCACATAAAGATCTCTAGTTCTTACAGCTTCTGAGATCGACCTGTCTGTACTTATATGTATATGTATATATATATATATATATGTGCTCCATATACTTTGAAAGTGAGATGAGTCGAAAAGGCATTGTTAATAGAACAACAACACGAACTAAACCCCGCCTCATTAGGCATTCAGCATGGAATAGCTGAACAAGGTTCTAGGAATGCCATAATAAGTATCGATATCGATATACAATCGATATTTGCACGCAGCCCAAAAATCAGTTGATATCCGTAACCTATAATTGAGTCACAGCAAAAGGGCAACATAATTATATGATTGGTCCATGAGCTGCTGGCCGTTGCCGTTGCCGTTGCGCTGGCAACCTGTGAGAGCGGCCAGCCGCTATTGGGTTTCCATTTCGAAATTTTCTGATAAACAAACATGTGGCAAGTAAGCACAAGAGCCCGGGGCCAGGCACGAGCAGCAGTTGCGGCTATTCGATTGTCGAGCGATTCGCTGAAGTATAATTGCGTGCCAAAAGCAGCGGCAACAGCAGCGGCAACAGCAGCTGCAGCCAAATCGAATTTTGCCTCACGATGACTTTCAATAGCTTCGCAGCCCAAAATCAGCAGCAATTGCTGGTGCTGCTACTGGAACTGCAGCGGCAACTGCAGTGGCAGTTCACTGAAGCGCGGCACAGTGCACCACAATATACCCACATGGTTCGCCCGAAAAACCACGTACAGGCAAATGGAATTAGGCGGACACGGACGATGTTTGGCCAAATGGGTGGCATGCAACTTATGGAATGAACGATTCGAGCTAGATATGCGAACGGACCTAGTTCGCTGCGCAGTTGCATATGCAAAATGCAAAATGCAAAACGGAAAATGGAAAATGTTTGTACAATTGAACGCGAACGCAACCAACTGGTCCGTGGCATGCAACCTGGCCATAATGTGCAACAGACAACGTGCACAGCCGGAGGTGAGCATGGTCAAGGCCATTTGTCTTAGAAGACTTTGCTAATCAGTTTGCCAAATGTCCAGCTGCAGCTGGACACACGCTTGTGGCATACTCCATACTGTAGTCAAGTGGCAAGTGAATATACATACATATATAGATACTAGAAAAGTGAGAAATAAAAATAAGTAAGCGTTTAAATAAACATATTGTAATAATAATATATATAATATTTAATAGTTATGTATTTAAAAAATAAGCATAATAAAATAATTAATTATAATTAATATATTGTCAAAAGAAATTGTGTTATGCGTGCGTGTGTGTATGTTTGGTTATAATTGAATTTAAATAGTTGATAGACCAAAGAAAATACAAAAAAAAAAACATTATACTTGCATATGAATTGTTCAAATTTGTGATTGGAGTTTCGTGATTATTGACGTGTTATCGATAAACGCTTGGTTGACAAATGATAATTGCTTAACGAATATCGTTATACTATTATCGATATCGATGGGCTTTAGATTGAAGGGTTGTTGCTAAACAATTATTGATCGACGATTACTGGTGTACTATCGATACTAAAAGTGTTATCGATAGCAGTTTATCGACTAATTATAATCAATAGATTATGTATGCTTTTGCGATAGATAGCTAGCAACCCGCTAATGATGAATGATTGTCGATAAATGATTATTGGTGTGTCATCAAAAGACGATAAATGATTGTTGCTGTGTTATCGATGGATGTCAAACGTTAATGTAAATATGCTGCCGATAGGCGATAGATGATGCATGTTATTGATCAACGATTACCGATAAACTAAACTCAATAAATTATTACTCATATGTGTTGGTGATAGGCGATTAGTGGCATGGTATCGACAAACGATTATCGATAGCAATGACAATGTGTGTGATTCTGTTTCGTTTCCGTTTCAGCTAACTATATTTGGCGTCTCCTTCTTACACATTCTCCGGCTCGGGCAACTTGCGCTCACAGCAATGGCAGACGAGCGCATTGAGCCGATGGCCAATGGCCGACCATACGGTCATCGTCATCGATGATACCTCGCAACTGGAGCTGTCCTGGTGCAGTGCATCCGCCTCACTGCTGCCGTCCGCATCGTCGCTATCATTGACAATGGCCTCCGCTTCGGCCGTGTGGAAAGCCGCCTGATTGCAGAGCGAATTATTTGTATTTGTGTTTGTCGCATCGGAGTTCCCCTGTTGTCAAATCTTTGGCACCGCCTCCGACGAGGAGCCACTGGCCAAGCCCAGTTCACAGCTAATGCTGGGCGGCAAAAGTCTTGGCGGCTCGATGACAACGCTACCAGCATCACCAGCCACACCGCCAGCAGCATCAACAGCACCAGCTGCATACTCACTTCCGCCATCCTCGGCGCTGCCAATCCGTATGCGTACGCCGGACAGTTCGCCGATGATGCCGCTGCCGCTGTGAAGCGTGTTGTTGCTATTGTTGCTGTTGTTGTGCTCGTCGTGACGCGACGATTTGCGGCTGCTGCTGTCAGCGGATGAGTAGCGTGTTGCGGCATGTCGGCTGCAGGGCACGTCCAGGCTGTAGGCCCGATGCCTGGCCACGCCAACCGACATGCCTGGACCGACAGCCTGGACGCCTGGCGAGGGCAGGCTATTCGAAATGGTGCAACAGGTGGCCGCCACTTGCACTTTGTCGGCGCTGTTGTTGTCGGTGTTGTTGCTGCTGCTGTCGTTGGCCGGCGCATTGTTGTTGCCGCGCACGGCGCAAGGGCTGCTGCGTGTGCTCCCAAAGCGTTTGTTGCCCTTGTCAAAGCTGAAGGTAAAGTAGTCCGAGAATTGACGCAAACGCGACTTCCATGAGCTGCTGCTGTTGCTGCCTCCGGGCTGTTGCGGCTGTTGCTGCTGCTGCTGCTGGTCGTCGGCAACAGTAGCAGTGGGAGGTGCAGTTGCAGTTGCGGCGCTACCATTGCTGGCTAGCGTTTGGTTGAGCGTCGGCGATATGTTGCCATTTGTGGTAGCTGCAGCAACAGTTGCTGCTGCGATGGTTGTTGCTGCTGTTGGAGCTGCTGTAGCTGGCAACTTATCCTTATCCTTCTCCTGCTGCTGCTGCTGCTGCAGTTGCTGCAGCTGCTGTGCAGTGGGCAGCAACGATTGCTGCAAGAGCGGCTGCTGGAGCACTGGTGCCACTGGCGCCTGGTTGTTGCTAGTGTTCATGTTGAGGTCCTCGGCGGCACGTCCAGCGGCCCGCTGTGCCAGCTGCTGCTCCAGGCTGTTGCGATTGTGGCGTCCATAAAACACATTGCTATCAGAGATAACCTGGGGCAGGCCATCGGACAGACGACGATTATTGGTGCTGTACTGGTCGAGGCTGACGGCGCGATTGCTGCCAAATTGACAGCGATTGGCATGATAGCCATGGATGTTGCCATAGGAGTTGCGCATGCGCTGGCCACCGCCGCTGCTGCACAGTTCGCCAATCATCGAGGGACGCTTCTCGCGCGACGATTTGCGCGAGGTGGAGTGCGAGGATTTGCTGCGATTGCTGCAGCCCTCTGTGTCCACTTTGAATTTGGATGTCTTCTCGGCCACCTGCATAAGGGGAAATGTTTGATTAGACTGAGGCTTGGCCTTGCGCCTGCTCGTTGGGCCACTTACATCCACCTCGGTGGCCGTTTCGGAGTCGCCACTTTCGCTGCCCTCGGGCAGATCGTGCAGCTCGGCGGCCATGCCGCCTGGCTCATCCACAGATGTGCGCGATGCGGACTTTTGTGAGGGTATGCTGCGGCGCGACTTGACGCTGATACCGGAGCCGGATCGTGGCATTTGGGGTGAGCTGCTACCGCCTCCACCTCCGCCGCCAGCGGCACCAGAGCCAGCAGCTGGGCCTGTCGACTGTTTGTCCATCAATAATTTATCGGCCGTGCTGTTGCCCGGCGTGCTGACCATGGCCGCATTCGAGTCCATGTTGCCACTGTTGCTATCGGATGTGGCCGAGGCGTTGCTGTCTGCCACGGATTTGCGCGTCTTTGTCTGCGCATCGTTGAGTCGCCTGGGTTCGTGTTGTTTGGTCACAGAATAAGATTTAACTAGCTCTACTCCTAGGGAGATCTACCCCAGCCCCATTCCCAACTCACCTGTAATACTCCAGTGCAATGCGCACGGGTATGATAATCAGCTCCGTTAGCTCCGGCACCAGTTCGCCCAGCGCCTCAAAGAGCGGCAATAGGACGAGCCCAATGAAGCGCACCTGGGAGCCGGGCTTGCTCACCTTATCGGGATCCATGAACGGTGTCACCGGCAGCCCCTCGGACTTTTCGGCGGCGCTCTGTGCAAAGAACTCTTGGAGCAAGCGATCCAGCCAGGGTTCAGCCACGTCCATGGGCCGTGCCTCGTTCGAGATGTCCGCCACCTTGATGAGTATCATGCACAGCTGCAAAAGATTAAGAGTAAAACGGATTCAAAACTTACGGGCCTGCTATCCCGCTTACCAGATTGATGTGCGCACGATTGTTGTAGTCAAAGATGGGCGTTATCTCCATAAACTGCGTGAGGATCTCGTTGTGGCGCGCCATATCGGTGGCCAGGATGCAGCGGATGATGCCCTCCCGTATGGTGCTGTTGTTGAAGGCAAAATTTACATTTAAATTGAGATGACGTGGCAATAGAAATTGTTTCCTATCTACTAGCTGGATGGCGCTTTTACTGAATGCTCCCAAGAACAAAGCAGAGCTCGCAATTTGACATTCTGAGTAATTTGTACTCTCTTCTGTTTCTGTGCCAAAGGTAAGCTTACAAGCATACTCTAATCGAATGGACTAGTTATCAACTAGGAGGTATCAAAAAATCCTGAGATCCTGCATACCATGTATTATTTATGTTCGTAAAGTTCAATTTAAATGCGAAAATGATTTCAGCGTAAGCTAACAAGCTGCAAGATAACGATAAAACACCTTGCCCATAAATCGATATTAAGCGATATACCAAAAAATGACTGATGCTGACAATTTAGTTCGAATTTTAAATATTTGTTCAAGTTCACTTAATTGTGAAATCGTATTTAGGTACAGAATTGCTTTCAAAGTCGTTATTTATCGATAGGTGATTGGTGAACAGATTTTGGTTCAAATTTAACATTTTTTCCCATGTTCAAAGATGTTCGTTAAATACCAATTTGGTCTGAAAATCGATCACTTTAATAGACTCATTGAAGCACACTCGAACCGGTTCACAGGAATTAAACACAGAGCTCTGGCAAATTGCAGGGATTACTGAAAGCAAACATTAGTTGTCTGCAGCAGAGGCCAGCATTGCTTCAAGCCTCCTCAACCCCGCCATCAAGGGCGCATTCTAAGGGGATGGTTTTCGGGGCGCATTGCGTATACGCCATGTTTTGCATGTTGTTTACGGCTGTTGTTTCTTTTTAATACGCTTTTAAAGGGCATTACAGTTTTATCATGAATAGTGCAACGCATTGACTGAGTTATCTCTGAAACCATAAATATATATGTATATATACTTAGATATACCCAACATCGTTCTCCGTCTCTCTCTTGCATGCAGTACCCATGTCGGAGACAGCCAGATCGGATAACTAAGTATATTGTACAGATGTTATAGGATTGATTGATCAAAAAAGAGTATTTAATCTTCGTCTAGCCGATTTGTTTTTTGTTTTTCCTTTGATTTGTTGGCTAACGTGCGATTTGGGACGCGCTGCTTACAAGAAAAAAAGCGTAACTATATTTTCAAATGCAAAACGAAAATAAGAGAACGCGAGAATGTGCGATAGAGAGAGAGAGAGAGATATAGTTGAGATGATAGTTACAGACTAAGCAGCATGCGGCGCGCAAATATTAAATTGCATTTCGTTTTATTTTTATTTCAAAGAAAATGAAAAATACGCAAAAGTCGCATCAGATACGAGCAGAAAATTGAATTTTGTCGTGTCAAGTGGCATTGACGCTGCACACAGACGCAGACGCAGCTCAAGCCAGCCAACAGATCCAACGCACGGTATGGCGGTCTTAAGGGGGGAGACTGTAGGGGGGAGTCGGGAGCGGGAGGTGCGAGTAAGGGCAGGGGCGTGCCACTTTAGTTACTACATTGGAAATTCAGCACCTGCCACGCTTCAACTGCAAATAGAGCGCGAAGCGAATTTTATGCACTCGACTTGACGCCGTCGTAAAGCTGCAGATATCACAATATCCAGCAGCCATGCCTTGTTGTTATTTTCTAGCGATTTTCTTGTGATTTTCCAGTAGTAATTATAGTGGCATTTAGAAAATGTTGTCACAACATCTCAGCCTCAATGCTGCTCGCAAGTGCAAAACAAAGTAGTCTCTTCAATTTTATTATTTTCCATTGACATCGTTGACATATTTCAATGTCGATTATACCCTTTGTTACAAATGGATAAAGCTGAGGTAATTTTCTTTCATTTTTTGAAAATTTTTTTTGAACAGTGCCGTTTCATTTATGGGTCTATTGGACTATTGAGCGGTAGAATGATTTGGCATATTTGTGGGTAGCCATATTCTTGGTTCTCATCGGTGCAATTAGCAGCTTAACAGCTATTTGAATTCTCATGCACAATTTATTCTGTTACGCTGCGCTTTCGCAATATGGATTACAAGGACAATGTATGAATAACTGGTTTTATATAAGTTAAAAGTGCGTTGGATTTTCATTTATAAGTCGGTCAAGCAGTCATTAGTCAGCCCCTAATCAATATTCAGTCGTAAGTCGGTCAAGCAATCATTAGTCAGCTATTAGTCAGTATTCAGTCAGTAATTCAGTCAGTGAATATTCAGTAAGCTTACAATCAGCCAGGAAACTGATCAATTAATTATTTTGTAAGTCAGTCAGTCAATCATCAGTCAGCTATCAATCAATATGCAGTCAATAAGTCAGCTGGTCAGTCATTGGTCAGTTATCAATCAGTATTCAGTCAGTAAATTGGTCAGTCAATCAGCCAGCAAAATGGTCAATCACTTTGTAAGTCAGTCTGTCAATCATCAAGTAGCTATCAATCAACATTAAGTCAGTTAGACACTCAGTCAATCAGCCAGTAAAATGGTCAATCACTTTGTAAGTCAGTCTGTCAATCATTGGTCAGTTATCAATCAGTATTCAGTCAGTAATTTAGACAGTCAATCAGCCAGCAAACAGGTCAATCGTTTTGTCATTCAGTTAGTGAATTGTGCGGTCGATCAGCCTGTTAATCTTTAATTTTTGGATTGTGAATCCATTAGACAGTCAGTCAGTCATTAAAAAATTAGCTATGCAGCCGGCACATCTGTCAATCACTTAGTTAGCCTATCAACCAGTCAATCAATATCAGTTATTTGCATGAGAAAAATAATATAACTTGTAATTTCTGAGTTCACTTCACTTTTCCCACATATCTGCAGAACAGTAAGCAAGGGCATTGAATCTTCGGCATGCCCAAGATATGCTTACTTTCTCGTTTGATATCGTATATAGATTGATTGATTTTCTCAAAACATCATCAAGTTTTGTGCCTGGTATCGCTGGGGGCAATCAGCGCTTCGGCGTCTCTAACCCAATCGCCAGACTTTGGCATTGCGTAAATCTCAATGTCAGAGCTTATCAGCGGCGCGACAGCTGCTTATCAGCTGCTGCTCAGCTCAGCTCAGCTCAGCTTCGTTCAGCTTAGGTTTGGGCAGTCAATTTGTAAATACGGGAGAGAAAGCCACGTTCCCTATGTGTGGCAAACAACTGAACCAGCGCCAACTGCTGCTCCAGCTGCAGCAGCTGCTGCTGCTGCTAGTCCTAGGCAGCCATTGCATTTGGGGCCATGTTGTTGGCTGCGCGACTGAGGCAGCGGCGGATGCGATGGACGTGAGCAAATCGCCGTGCGAGAATTTCCATGAGCACGCCTGCGGCAACTGGCACGCCCCCTATGGACTGCGTGCTCTGGGCGCACATGATATGCGGTCGAAGCTGCGCGCGCTGAACAAGCAGCTGCTTGTGCGGCACCTTGAGGCCAGTGGTGGGGATCAGGATCAGTTGCACACGTTCTATGACAGCTGTATGAGCGGCCGGCAGTCGCTGCACGTCTATATGGATGCAGTGCAGCAGCTTGTGCCGGATTGGCCGCTGCTCAACAATGCGACGCGCTTCGATTGGTCACGCGGCGGCGCTGCAGTGCGTCGTTTTGGCGCCCAGGGCTTGTGGCGTCTGCTCGTGCAGCCAAATTGGCAGGCGGCAGAGCAGCTCATATTCTATCTGCTGCCGCCCAGCTTCGAGCTGTTGGGTAGCAGCGAGCAGAGCGAATTTCTCTACCAGCGCTATCTCAAGTATCTGCTGCTCGAACTGAGACTGCGCGTCCGACGCGCTGCCACGCTGGCCGAGCAGCTGGTGAGCTTTGAGCGGCAGCTGCGCGAACTGACGCCGCCGCCGCTGGATGAAGCCCAGACGCTGGTGCTGCACGAGCCGCAAACGTTGCAGCAGCTGGCGTCGCAGCTGCCGCAGCTACAGCTGCTCGACTACTTCCGGCTGCTGCTGGGCGAACGCTATACGCCGCAGCTGCTGCTGGTGGCGGACACGGGCTACTTGCAACGCCTGCAACGCGTGCTGCACGCCGCCGACCCGCTCGTCCAGTCCAGCTGGCTGCTGCTGCAGCTGCCGGCGCACTTTGAGCTCCATCTGCACGAGGACACCACGTTGGCTGCGCAGCGTGAGCATTGCCTGCAGCAGTTGAATCAGTTGCTGCCGCGTCAGCTGTCGCAGCTGCAGCAGCGTCTGTTGCATGGCAGCGATGCTGCGGCGTCTGCCTTTCGCAGTCGCACGCAGCGCCAGCTGCAGCTGCTGTTCGACTCGCTGAAGGCTCAGTTCGAGGTTTTGCTGAATGCCACGCCGATTTTCGAACAGGACGCCGCCACACAAACTCTGGCCCTGCAAAAGCTGCGCGCAATGCGGCTGCTGCTGCCGCCGCCGCCGTCGCCACAACAGTTGGAGCAGCGAGAAGAAGGGAAGGCGCAACGTGAGCTTCAATCTACGAGCTTCAGCTACGATACGAATCTGTTGCACTTGTCGCAGGCGGAGTCGGATGCGCAGTTTCAGCTGGCGCTGGGCTGCTTGCAGTTGCCCTGCGAGTCATCTGCTGCATGGGCGGGCCACGCCCTCGGTCCACTGGATGTGAACGTGTACTACAGGCTGAAGCTAAATGCTATTGAGCTGCCGCTGGGTCTGCTGCGTTCGCCCCTCCTGCCCAGCAGTAGCAGTAGCAGCTGCGAGGCAAATGTTGCTCGAGAGGATGCCAGGCAGACGGCGACGGATGCGGATGCGGAATCGCAGGCCCGCCTGCTGGGCGGCCTGGGCTATATGCTCGGCCACGAGCTAATCCATGGATTCGACTATGATGGCATCAATTATGATGCAGCCGGACGTGTGGCCGGCGGCCAGTGGCCAGCGCGCGCCATCATTCGCTTTGGCCTGCGTGCCGGCTGCTATTTGGGAGCACGCTACAGCAATGCGACGTTGACCATCAATGAGAATATTGCGGACAGCGAGGGATTGCGCTTGGCCTACGAGGCGTATCGGCACCAGCAGCCGGCCAATGCCTCAATGCGTCAGTTCTTTGTGGCCTTTGCGCAAAACTGGTGTGGACAGGCGGTGGCGCCCTCTAGCGGCGCACAGCAGCATGCCTCGCATCGGGAGCGTGTCAACAATGTGCTGGGCAACTTCCCGGAATTTGCTGAGGCCTTTGAGTGCAAGGTGGGCAGCCTAATGCATCCGCCGGACAAGTGTCGCATTTGGTAAACAGCGGCGCAGCAGGGGCTGGGGCTGGGGCAGCGACAGGGTCGGGGACAGGGACAAAGCTGAGGTAACGTCAATGGGATGTTTTTCAAATCTGAGTAAAGCAATGACATTGAAATTGAAATGAAAACTCTTGAGTGTACTCGATTGGTGCGGCATCTCATTACAGCGCAGCCACGACTTGTTGTGCCACAAAATGCGGTAAACACACACACACACACACACGCACATAAACACGGATTGCAGCAAAGTGTGTGGAGCATCCATTACCTGGCCTTTTACTTCAAAAACTATGGCAACAGGCAGAGATAAATCCTTCGGTAGGCACATAGTTACATGTTGAAAAAATAATCGAAATACATAATTGGCTTTTTCAGTCCTTAGCAACACTGGAATATGCATCTTAAATCTCAAATAAAGAGGCTCATCTAACTAGAAAAACTCATGGAACTGACATAGGGAAATGACATTTCAAACTCTTCTCCAACACTGATAAACGTAGTTCGTAGGCATTCCTCAAGATTCAAAGACTCAGACTCAAGTAATCGTTCACCAAATGATATGGCAGCTATATAAGATAGTCGTCCGATTCGACTGCGAAAAAGTAAATCAAAGGCAAAGTTTAAACCAAATACTTTTCAAACGGACCGCGTGGATTGCATAGAAACATGGCTACATTTCATCAGACGGATCGAACCAGCATATTATATAGCTGCCATAGGAGTTTTTGTATGCAAGGCTATTCTCTTATTGAATAAATGTTAATTACGTGCTTCACTTCATTTCCCACATATCTGCAGAGCCTGCAGGCATGTGATTAGAGTATTTAATGCTTGGCGTGCCAAAGATACTCGCTCATTCCTTGTTTCACCCGTTCTCATGGCTTATGTCCTTACTCAGCCGCAAGTCATTTGGTGTTGGAAAACCCGCAATTGTCTCATTGTTTACAAATGACATTTAAGTGCATTTGAATGACGCACAACTCTCAAGACTGAGAAAAGCAACACGATTCGTCAAGCGTTTCTCAACTGCTGATAACTTATGGCAACATGGTAATAAGAGCAATAACACCACAAGCACACAGACAGAGAGAGAAAGAGTGAGAGAGAAAGAGGGAGAGGGAGAGAGAGAGAAGTATATAACAGAATCCACATATATGACGTTGACACAAGCAGGCAAAGAGTATCGTGTGGCATCGTGTGGTAACTTCTTGGCACTCTTGGCACTCTTGGCGGGGGCTGCTTCATGGCATTTACAAGCATATTGTGCATGTGCATTTCTGGCAAGTTTTGCTATCAAAAACTCCCAAAAGCATGCAGCAGTTTATGCACGCAAACTTGGCAGCAAAACATCGTGAAGGCGCCCAACGTGTGACTCTCCTGATGGCGCCCAACGTGCCAAGCTCGGAGTTGATGAGGGGCCACACAGTGCGGTGTTTGTCTTTAGGGCATTCCAGCAACTTCCAGCTTTTCTTCCCGTTCTCGTTGATAATGATGATGATGATGATGATGATGATGATGATGATGATGATGATGATGATGATAATGATGATGATGAGGAGAATGATGGGCATGGGCATGATGTTCCCTTACCTATTTTAGCTTTCACAACGCCGCCGCCTACGTGAGCGCGCAATTCAAAGTCAAAAACATTTTCCCCCAGCTAATCCACTTAATTAATGTTTGCGGAATTTTGCAATATAAATGCGTTGCAATGAGTACAGAAACTACGCTTTATATATCCACCGCAAGAATAACACAAATTAATCACAAGCAAAGCAAGTGCGACTGCTTCTTAGTGGGAGTGCCCGACCAGAAGATACTCCGCAGCCAGCGTCGAGCTGCCGTTACAAGCATGACATCTTTACTCTTTACACTAACAAGCTCCGATCTCCTTTAAATTTGTAGGTACTAAGTAGTGAACCAAAGGAGTAAGAGTATATCTTTAATTTTTTTGGAATCAATTTTGCGGTAAACCGATTTGGAGTGCCTAGCTCCTTATCGTCTGAGCTAAGCCTAAGAAACTAGACTAATAAAGTCGATATTTATCGATATTATAGAAATCGATATTATTCAGTTTCAAGCCTCTTGTTTTTATAGTTTCCGACTTCATATATGCAAGCAAAGGAACATAACTTAATCGAATCAACGCGTAGACCTTATTCAGAATATCCATAATTCATTTAGGAAAAGCCTCCTGCTGCCGGTTAGGCGCGTTAGGTGAATGAAAGGAAGCCAACTTCGAAAAAATGCCTCGGTAGAGTTGTAGTTTCACTTCATGGAACAAAACCATTGCGTACTGAGTTGATGTATTGGAAATTTGGATGAACTTTCCCAGAATGCAAACTCAGTACGCTTGCGAAAATATTTTAAGGGAATTTGCTGGGGATTTGTATTTCCTTGAATTAACTGTTAATCATTGAATACAATTTGCATTTCGAATGCGACAGGGAACTTACATGGGATTAATATTCAGTTCGACTTTATGTTATGTGGCAGACCGAGAATTAAGCTCTTATGCATAAAGTAATTACAAGTTATCGATAAGGAAACACATCGCGTGGGACTAAATTGTGAGATATATTTTTTGCGTGGGAGATTTGTGCATGTGTGTGTGTGTGTGTGTGATTGAAACATTAAGTCAAAACGAAATATTTCTAGGAACTTATATTTCAATGAATTTTGTGTTCAATGCAATTCAAAATTTCAAAAGCAACACAGACTAGCGAGCGATAAGTAATATGATTTACAAAGGGTTTGAATAATTAATTACAGAGAAAGAGATAAGAGAAACTGTATCAATTGCAGTGATACTCAAAGAGTATCTGTGGCATTTGATTGAAGAAATTTTTAAACAATGCATCAATATCAATATACCACAAAGTATGGGCACTCTAGCTCTGGTCGGAAACTAAGCGCCGACTTGGCATTATAAATAAATAAGCTGTGTCCTATATCCATTAAGACATACACAGGCACATACCCAAAAAAACACACACACACACACATACTCAGCGCTAACTGCGTTCTTCTACTACATCCGTCAGTCTCACTCATGAATAACATCGGTGCTTATAGTCCGATCAAAAAGGTGTGTTTCAATCAATTTTAGGAAGATTACTTTTCATGCTTTGTTGTTGTTCCTTGATCTTAAAAGCTTTGAGATGTGTTCCAAACGCCTAATCTTAAAATCGATACTTATCGAAATAGGGCGAGGTATCGATCAATTGAAATAATCTAGATTTAAACAGTTAACAGCAGAGGCTGTGCACCAATTGCAAGTCTCTAGCCCTAATAGTCTCTGAGTTCGAGAAAACAGACAGACTATTGATGCTATTTGATATTTTATATATATTTTATATATATATATATATATATATATATACATTTCTCTATATGGACCGCCTGCCGTTGCCTGTTACATGCAAGCATTTGCACAAAATAACAATGCCAACTTTTCCTCATATTGAATAGTTTCAGGTTATGAAAGAGCTTCATATTATTTGCTTGAATTTTCTTCTATTTTCAAACCATCGTCGCAATATATTTTTGTATCAAATGACATTCCTTGTCATGCGCTCAGCAATTGACAATCGAAAAATGTTTCAATATATTGTTTGTAAAAACAGTTTGACTTCAATTTGTGGGCATTAGGGCTTTGTTTGTTGTTTGCGTTTTGATTCCCACTCGACTTGGGTCGTTACGAGCGAAAGAATAACCAAAGAAGGGTCCTGCGTACAGTCCACAGTGCAATAAGCAAGGACAACCGGCGCGAGTTGCCTGCCTGCACCAAATCGATACGCTCGCGGACCAGGCGGCAGAGTTGCCCCACGCGGTTGCAGCTGTTGCCCGTGTTGGGTGTTAATTAGTGCCCCAGCAAACGGGGCCGACGTTTAATGCAACATCATTTTGTACGTGCCGCGCATAAAATAGAGTCAAGCAAAGTTGGCAATTAAATGGCTAGCAGCCCGAACCGAACCGACCCGAACCGACCCAACCCGGACCCAGCCCTCACACTCCCGCCCGCTTCCGTCCGCATGGTCTGACCCAAATAGCGGGGCTTAAAGTGCTACCAATTTGCAGGTGTTACTCACTTGAATGTGTCCCGGCTAAAGTTCTTGAATATATTGCACTCGGGATGCTCCAGCAGGCGGAATGCAATCGAGCAATGATGATTCTCCAACGGCGAGATGTCATTGTATCTGTAAAACCAGAACGAATCAAATATATAAATATATATATTTATAACAGATTCAGGGCAAGGTCTTACCTGAGCGCCAGTTCGGTGCGTGCATTGATCTGATAGATGTTGTTATACCCAGGATGATCGAGGTCATGGCAAATGCAGGACACGAGCAATATGAGGCATTCCAGATCGCCCAGACGGTTCAGTAAATTCGCTTGACGTGTAATCGCGTACATCTGCATTGAATAAAGAAAATACATACATTTATAAACTACTTATAAGGCTATAAATATATATGAATATTTACAATATTTAATTATTACTAGTAAGTTTTACGAGACCTTGCCCGGGTAAGGTAATATAGAGATTTGGTAGTGTCTTTAAGATAAAACGAGTTTACCGAGCAGGACGGCAAAATATAAATTGGACTTCAAAGACTCTTTACAAATCCCTTAAAAAATGATCTTAAAGCCGATTATATAAAGGATACATAAATTCTTAAATAGATCCATACAAACATACGCATATACACACATACTTGAGACATAAAAATGTTCTTAATGCATCCACATAGACATAGACCCATGTCTATATACGAAACTTGGGGTAAGATTTGGACATGAATTTCGACTCAAAAATCGGTGTCGAGATTTGAATGCCAGATTAATCTAGAGTGAAAACCATGAAGAAAAAGCCAAACTTCGTGAAAATCGGATAAGATTTGGCCGAGATATGGGGGTGGTAAATTTTGACCCATGTCTATATACGAATCTTGGGGTAAGATTTGGACATGAATTTCGACTAAAAAATTGGTCTCGAGATTTGAATGCCAGATTAATCTAAAGGGAAAACCATAAAGAAAAAGCCAAACTTCGTGAAAATCGGATGAGATTTGGCCGAGATATGGAGGTGGTCATTTTTGACCCATGTCTATATACGAATCTTGGGGTAAGATTTGGACATGAATTTCGACTCAAAAATCGGTGTCGAGATTTGAATGCCAGATTAATCTAGAGTGAAAACCATGAAGAAAAAGCCAAACTTCGTGAAAATCGGATAAGATTTGGCCGAGATATGGGGGTGGTAAATTTTGACCCATGTCTATATACGAATCTTGGGGTAAGATTTGGACATGAATTTCGACTAAAAAATCGGTCTCGATATTTGAATGCCAGATTAATCTAGAGTGAAAACCATGAATAAAAAGCCAAACTTCGTGAAAATCGGATGAGATTTGACCGAGTTATGGGGGTGGTCATATTTGACCCATGTCTACTTACGAATCTTGGGGTATTTGACCCATGTCTACTTACGAATCTTGGGGTAGGATTTGGACATGAATTTCGACTAAAAAATCGGTCTCGAGATTTGAATGCCAGATTAATTTAGAGTGAAAACCATGAAGAAAAAGCCAAACTTCGTGAAAATCGGATGAGATTTGGCCGAGATATGGGGGTGGTCATTTTTGACCCATGTCTACTTACGAATCTTGGGGTAGGATTTGGACATGAATTTCGACTAAAAAATCGGTCTCGAGATTTGAATGCCAGATTAATTAAAAGTGAAAACCATGAAGAAAAAGCCAAACTTCGTGAAAATCGGATAAGATTTGGCCGAGATATGGGGGTGGTCATTTTTGACCCATGTCTACATACGAATCTTGGGGTAAGATTTGGACATGAATTTCGACTAAAAATCGGTCTCGAGATTTGAATGTCAGATTAATCTAGAGTGAAAACCATGAAGAAAAAGCCAAACTTCGTGAAAATCGGATGAGATTTGACCGAGTTATGGGGGTGGTCATATTTGACCCATGTCTACTTACGAATCTTGGGGTAGGATTTGGACATGAATTTCGACTAAAAAATCGGTCTCGAGATTTGAATGCCAGATTAATTTAGAGTGAAAACCATGAAGAAAAAGCCAATCTTCGTGAAAATCGGATAAGATTTGGCCGAGATATGGGGGTGGTCATTTTTGACCCATGTCTATATACGAATCTTGGGGTAAGATTTGGACATGAATTTCTACTAGAAAATCGGTCTCGAGATTTGAATGCCAGATTAATCTAGAGTGAAAACCATGAAGAAAAAGCCAAACTTTGTGAAAATCGGACGAGATTTGGCCGAGATATGGGGGTGGTCATTTTTGACCCATGTCTACATACGAATCTTGGGGTAAGATTTGGACATGAATTTCGACTAAAAAATCGGTCTCGAGGTTTGAATGCCAGATTAATCTAGAGTGAAAACCATGAAGAAAAAGCCAAACTTCGTGAAAATCGGATAAGATTTGGCCGAGATATGGGGGTGGTAAATTTTGACCCATGTCTATATACGAATCTTGGGGTAAGATTTGGACATGAATTTCGACTAAAAAATCGGTCTCGATATTTGAATGCCAGATTAATCTAGAGTGAAAACCATGAATAAAAAGCCAAACTTCGTGAAAATCGGATGAGATTTGACCGAGTTATGGGGGTGGTCATATTTGACCCATGTCTACTTACGAATCTTGGGGTATTTGACCCATGTCTACTTACGAATCTTGGCGTAGGATTTGGACATGAATTTCGACTAAAAATCGGTCTCGAGATTTGAATGCCAGATTAATTTAGAGTGAAAACCATGAAGAAAAAGCCAAACTTCGTGAAAATCGGATGAGATTTGACCGAGATATGGGGGTGGTCATTTTTGACCCATGTCTACTTACGAATCTTGGGGTAGGATTTGGACATGAATTTCGACTAAAAAATCGGTCTCGAGATTTGAATGCCAGATTAATTAAGAGTGAAAACCATGAAGAAAAAGCCAAACTTCGTGAAAATCGGATAAGATTTGGCCGAGATATGGGGGTGGTCATTTTTGACCCATGTCTACATACGAATCTTGGGGTAAGATTTGGACATGAATTTCGACTAAAAATCGGTCTCGAGATTTGAATGTCAGATTAATCTAGAGTGAAAACCATGAAGAAAAAGCCAAACTTCGTGAAAATCGGATGAGATTTGGCCGAGATATGGGGGTGGTCATTTTTGACCCATGTCTATATACGAATCTTGGGATAAGATTTGGACATGAATTTCGACTAAAAAATTGGTCTCGAGATTTGAATGCCAGATTAATCTAGAGTGAAAACCATGAAGAAAAAGCCAAACTTCGTGAAAATCGGATGAGATTTGACCGAGTTATGGGGGTGGTCATATTTGACCCATGTCTACTTACGAATCTTGGGGTAGGATTTGGACATGAATTTCGACTAAAAAATCGGTCTCGAGATTTGAATGCCAGATTAATTTAGAGTGAAAACCATGAAGAAAAAGCCAAACTTCGTGAAAATCGGATGAGATTTGGCCGAGATATGGGGGTGGTCATTTTTGACCCATGTCTACTTACGAATCTTGGGGTAAGATTTGGACATGAATTTCGACTAAAAAATCGGTCTCGAGATTTGAATGCCAGATTAATTTAGAGTGAAAACCATGAAGAAAAAGCCAATCTTCGTGAAAATCGGATAAGATTTGGCCGAGATATGGGGGTGGTCATTTTTGACCCATGTCTATATACGAATCTTGGGGTAAGATTTGGACATGAATTTCTACTAGAAAATCGGTCTCGAGATTTGAATGCCAGATTAATCTAGAGTGAAAACCATGAAGAAAAAGCCAAACTTTGTGAAAATCGGATGAGATTTGGCCGAGATATGGGGGTGGTCATTTTTGACCCATGTCTACATACGAATCTTGGGGTAAGATTTGGACATGAATTTCGACTAAAAAATCGGTCTCGAGGTTTGAATGCCAGATTAATCTAGAGTGAAAACCATGAAGAAAAAGCCAAACTTCGTGAAAATCGGATGAGATTTGGCCGAGATATGGGGGTGGTCATTTTTGACCCATGTCTATATACGAATCTTGGGGTAAGATTTGGACATGAATTTCGACTAAAAAATTGGTTTCGAGATTTGAATGCCAGATTAATCTAGAGTGAAAACCATGAAGAAAAAGCCAAACTTCGTGAAAATCGGATGAGATTTGACCGAGTTATGGGGGTGGTCATATTTGACCCATGACTACTTACGAATCTTGGGGTAGGATTTGGACATGAATTTCGACTAAAAAATCGGTCTCGAGATTTGAATGCCAGATTAATTTAGAGTGAAAACCATGAAGAAAAAGCCAAACTTCGTGAAAATCGGATGAGATTTGGCCGAGATATGGGGGTGGTCATTTTTGACCCATGTCTACATACGAATCTTGGGGTAAGATTTGGACATGAATTTCGACTAAAAAATCGGTCTCGAGATTTGAATGCCAGATTAATCTAGAGTGAAAACCATGAAGAAAAAGCCAAACTTTGTAAAAAACCGGATGAGATTTGGCCGAGATATGGGGGTGGTCATTTTTGACCCATGTCTACTTACGAATCTTGGGGTAGGATTTGGACATGAATTTCGACTAAAAAATCGGTCTCGAGATTTGAATGCCAGATTAATCTAGAGTGAAAACCATGAAGAAAAAGCCAAACTTTGTGAAAATCGGATGAGATTTGGCCGAGATATGGGGGTGGTCATTTTTGACCCATGTCTACATACGAATCTTGGGGTAAGATTTGGACATGAATTTCGACTAAAAAATCGGTCTCGAGGTTTGAATGCCAGATTAATCTAGAGTGAAAACCATGAAGAAAAAGCCAAACTTCGTGAAAATCGGATGAGATTTGGCCGAGATATGGGGGTGGTCATTTTTGACCCATGTCTATATACGAATCTTGGGGTAAGATTTGGACATGAATTTCGACTAAAAAATTGGTCTCGAGATTTGAATGCCAGATTAATCTAGAGTGAAAACCATGAAGAAAAAGCCAAACTTCGTAAAAATCGGATGAGATTTGACCGAGTTATGGGGGTGGTCATATTTGACCCATGACTACTTACGAATCTTGGGGTAGGATTTGGACATGAACTTCGACTAAAAAATCGGTCTCGAGATTTGAATGCCAGATTAATTTAGAGTGAAAACCATGAAGAAAAAGCCAAACGTCGTGAAAATCGGATGAGATTTGGCCGAGATATGAGGGTGGTCATTTTTGACCCATGTCTACATACGAATCTTGGGGTAAGATTTGGACATGAATTTCGACTAAAAAATCGGTCTCGAGATTTGAATGCCAGATTAATTTAGAGTGAAAACCATGAAGAAAAAGCCAAACTTCGTGAAAATCGGATGAGATTTGAC